CAAGTTGACATTGTTTAGCCGTGTGCAGTGCCCCATCCACAGTTACACACCTCGGTCATATCGTCGTAGTGCTTAGGCGAAGCCCTGCGCCAGTAACTTCATCATCATCGTCACCATGCCATCGTGCTGACGAAACTCTCCCTCGGCCTCAACTGGATCAAGAGTACGAGGGACATCCCTGAGTTGAACATGTGCTGATCGCGGAGGTGTCGTACGTTCGGTGCTAATATCGGTCGGATCATGAAGATGTACGACTACATCAACCGCGTTGTCATAATGCTTCTGCTTTTGGTCTAGAGGATACGTGGACACACTCTCCCCTCTCATTGCTATGCATCACATAGATAGATCTTGCGTGATCGTAGGAATTTTTTTGAAATTACCGCGTTCCCTAACACGGGGGTGTCGGAGTCCTAGGGTACCGGAAGGACGATAAGTGGAACCGAAAGTGACGCGGCGACCTAGTGGAGTGACGGAGGTCGTGGGGGTTCAACAAGGGCTTGACGAACGGCTGACATGGCATAACAGCGGCGTCGGACAGGGAGGAAGCGGATGAGAGCAATGGGAAGAGAAGCAGACGTCGGCTCCGGGTTTGTTTTTGAGTGCGCCAAGGTTGTCAGAGTTCTACGTGGAGGAGGCCCGGATTCCCGGATACCCGAGGAATGACTTGTGTTATCAAACATCACTTCGTAACTGGGTGATCATAAAGGTGCTCTATAGGTATCTCTGAAGGTGTATGTTAGGTTGGCATGGATCGAGACCAGAATTTGTCACTCCGTAAGACAGAGAGATATCAACGCCCCTGGTTTGCTTGTGATTTGTGAAAAAATGGACGCGCAGACGTGTCCACAGACTGATGCATGACAACGTTGGATGACTTGTAGCGTTCGGACAGTTCAGTCCAAACGTTTGCGGACGATTTGAGGGTCCGATTTGGAGATGCCCTCAACCTCCAAACATGTATAAATTATCTTTTTAATGGTAATATGTGTCTCATTTATATCATAAGTGCTATAGTATCACATACACATCAACGTGACAAAATTGGAAAGACAACATAACGTTAGGCTTTGCGCAAAGGAACACCAAAAACACAATCAAGACTAAAGAATCTTGTGAGCTTGACACCAACGCTCGTCACCTGTTGATACGTCTCCAACGTATCTATAATTTTTTATTGTTCCATGCTATTATCTTATCTGTTTTAGATGTTTATGGGCTTTACTTTACACTTTTATATCATTTTTGGGACTAACCTACTAACGGGAGACATAGCCCTGATTGCTGGTTTTTTTTGCCTATTTCAGTATATCGAAGGAAATGAATATCAAGCGGAGTCCAAACGGAATGAAACCTTCGGGAGCGATCTTTTTGGAACAAACGCAATCCAGGAGACTTGGAGTGGACGTCAAGAAGCAGCCGAGGAGGCCACGAGGGTGGCCGGCGCGTCCTAAGGGGGTGGGCGCGCCCCCTGCCTCATGGGCCCCTCGTGGCTCTACCGACGTACTTCCAAGGCCTCTCCGATGAGTTGTGAGTAGTTTACCACAGACCTTCGGATTCATAGTTATTAGCTAGATGGCTTCTCTCTCTCTCTCTTTGAATCTCAATACATTGTTCTCCTTAATATTCTTGGAGATTTATTCGATGTAACTCTTTTTGCGGTGTGTTTGTCGAGATCCGATGAATTGTGGATTTATGATCAAGTTTATCTATGAGAAATAATTGAATCTTCTCTGAATTCTTTTATGTGTGATTGATTATCTTTGCAAGTCTCTTCGAATTATCAGTTTGGTTTGGCCTACTAGATTGATCTTTCTTGCAATGAGAGAAGTGCTTAGCTTTGGGTTCAATCTTGCGGTGTCCTTTCCCAGTGACATTAGGGGCAGCAAGGCACGTATTGTATTGTTGCCATCGAGGATAAAAAGATGAGGTTTATATCATATTGCTTGAGTTTATCCCTCTACATCATGTCATCTTTCTTAATGCGTTACTCTGTTCGTATGAACTTAATACTCTAGATGCAGGCAGGAGTCGGTCGATGTGTGGAGTAATAGTAGTAGATGCAGAATCATTTCGATCTACTTGTTGTGGACGTGATGCCTATATACATGATCATGCCTAGATAATCTCATAACTATGCGCTTTTCTATCAATTGCTCGACAGTAATTTGTTCACCCACCGTAATACTTATGCTGTCTTGAGAGAAGCCACTAGTGAAACTTATGGCTCCGGGTCTATCTTTTATCATATAAATTTTTAATCTACTTTTATTTGCTCTTTAACTTTCCTATCTATATCATAAAAATACCAAAAATATTTATCTTATCTTATTATCTCTATCAGATCTCACTTTTGCAAGTTACCGTGAAGGGATTGACAACCCCTTTATCGCGTTCGTTGCGAGGTTCTTGTTTGTTTGTGTAGGTACGAGGGACTTTTGAAGAGTTTCCTACTCGATTGATACCTTGGTTCTCAAAAACTGAGGGAAATACTTATGCTACTTTGCTGCATCACCCTTTCCTCCTCAAGGGAAAACCAACGCATGCTCAAGAGGTAGCACTTACCTCTGACGCCACCACAACAACCACCAAAGAAGAAAAAGACGAATCACCTTCTCACCCGAACTTGGCGCGACTCCATTGCTGATATGCAGCTTTGCGGACTTCCAAAGTGGCTCGCCATAGGCGAAACCATTACCGTTGAATGAATCAGACAGGGGCAACACTCCGAAGTCCGGACATAGCATCGAACTTTAGATCTGGCACCCCGCACGACTAAGATGCCAGAGGAGGAAACCATACCTGCCAACAACGAACCATGAACCCAACACACGATCCATCATCTTCCAAATGTCGTCGATGCAGACCACAATTCGCATCTGCTTCTGGACACCTCCCAAGCTCCGCGCGAATGCTGGAGCAAACGTCGTCGAACGACGGAGCTCGAGGACACGGGTCCACCATGAGAATGTCGCCGTCATGCCATCCTTACTTGAACAGACTGGTTTCCAAATTCATCCTCAATCATATGACCGATCGCCTCGTCGGGAAATGATATGAAGAATCTTTATTCAACGTCGTCATCGTCACTGTTGAAGCAAGACGATGAACAACCTAAAAACCTAGACTACGAAGGCCTAAAAACGATCCATCCACACGTGGATCCGACAACCCTCCTCATCACCAATGATCGATATCGTCGGCGGATGGCGCCGGAGGACGGCGATGGAAGGAGACGCCCCGTCGGCTGCCGCAAAATCGCCCGGTCTTTCTTCCTGAGAAAGAAAGAGCTTGGTACGGTGCGCATAAATCATCTTTGTCCTTGCCGAGACACGTGGTGACCTGAGGTAACATACGGCTTCCATACAGTACAGCTACTAGGCTCCGACGGAATCGTCGCGACAGACACACACACCCTTCACTTTTCTCTCCTCCCCCTCTGCAAAGGCCTCGACCTCCGCCGGAAATGCTCTGCCTCTCGCCGCGCGCGCCGTGCCTCCCCGGTCCACACGCGAAGGCCCCGCCCCCCGCCGGCGCCGCCGGCAATGCGCGCCGCACGACGCTGCGCGCGGCGCCGCGGCGGTGGCGGCTCGCGAGGCCCCGCGGCTGCTCGGCCGCCGCGCCCGTGCCCGTGCCGGCGCCGCGGACGACCGCGGAGCGGTGGGGGTCGCTGCGGGAGATGCGGCGGGTGTGGTGGGTGTGCGGGGCCGGGTACTGGGTGCAGGGCTTCCGGTGCTTCCCGTGGCTGGCGCTCAACTTCCACCTCACCCGCGGGCTCGGGCTCAGCCCCGTCGCGCTGCAGCTGGTGCAGAACGCCGGCAGCCTCCCGCTCGTCGCCAAGCCGCTCTTCGGCGTCCTCTCCGACGCCGTCTACATCGGCCGCGAGCACCGCCTCCCCTACATCTCCATCGGAGGTGCTTAACTTCATCCGCCCCCCTTTTCCCCCTTCCGCTTTGCTACGATTACGACCCCTTCTTCTTCCTCATTTGTTGGAAATTGTTGTGTCTGTTTACTTTTCTTTAGATTATTTATCGAAACAAATGTGATAATTGAGGTCATCTCGGCTTAAAATTCTCAGCTCAGAAGTACTGAGAGCCCAATGAATATACCTGCCAATAGTTTCAGGTATCTGTCTGAAATTGGAAATTCTTATGAGTACAAGGGTTCAACAGCGGCAGCTATATTGTCCAATTTGACAGGAGCTGTGAAAACTAGGGAGCTCCTGAGCTCACTGATAGTGACAACGTTTGATTTCACGTATTGAAACCGCATATTCTTATGGGTACCAATTTCACTGTGTGATTGGGATTGCCATTTGTCTCAATTTCTCTGTATTATATTTCTGACCAACAGATTGGTCGAACTAATCCCTTGATAGCTGGGGGTCAGCTGTTGTAGTTTAAGCAGCTTCCACTAGAGCAGTCGGCACTTGTTCTAGAGACATAATTGTTTGGAAAGCAACATGGGTATATACCAGAGTAGTCGGCACTTGTTCTTCCTAGAAGAAGACTTGTCTGCATCATGGGTATCTACAGTAGTCGGCACCTGCCGGAGAGAAAGATACGTTTAGGAAACACACTGCACCTTCCTGCTCAGTGTGTGTGTACGCCACTCTTATTGCTAGTCACACATTTTGAGCTTCGCCAAGTTGGTAAATCCCAGAGATGACTTACTCCTATTCTGGTGGCTCCTGATACATGCATGTTTTACTCAGAATGATTGGTGGTCACACGATCTGAGCCTTGCCAAGAGAGTTCTCCAGAGGGCGCCCCGTGCCCTCTGGGGTGCTTGTGAGAAGTTGCTAGAGGCTGTTTTGTGGTCCACTAATCTCTGAAAGCTGCCTCTAAGATTCCCCACCCCCCATGCTACGCCGTACCATGATTGGGACAGGTTCTTTGTGATGTTTGTCCTAGTTTAGGAGGATGATCCAAATGAAATGATGCCGATTTGTTTGTTTGTTACCTGCTGGTTTCATATTTCCTGTCCGTGACTATGTAAGAATGCTTTGGTCCTACAACTTTTACTGTCAAGATATAAAACCTGCTGCTGGTAAATTTCTGACAAACTGAATAACAATCATATTCCATTTTCAGTGGTTATCTTTCTATGCAAGCAATTTGTATTCTGAAAATTAAATGTTATATACTGCACATGATTTTTTTAGGAAATGAAGCCTTAAAATCGAATGAATTCTTCAATTGGTTTATGCTAATATTGGCTACTGCTGTGAACTTTCAGCATTACTTCAGCTTACTGCTTGGGGAACACTCGCGATCATGCCAGTTACGGGCGACACATTTCCAACTCACATGATATGCATTCTGATTGGAAATCTTGGAGCATCCGTGACGGAAGTTGTAAGCGATGCTGTTGTCACGGAGTTCAGCAGAACACAGAGGACCGGCGTGCTGCAATCTTATGCCTTCATAGGTCTGGCAGCTGGAGCCCTCCTAGGAAACTTGTCGGGTGGATACGTTCTGTTGAGAACTCAGGAACCAAAGATTATGTTCACAGCATTCTCTGTCCTCCTTGGCCTCCAACTAGCACTCTCCATAGGCACAAAGGAAACACTGCCAAGCTCCCATGGAAACTCCAGAAGCCTTCTTGTCAAAAGCTCTTTGCCGGCGAATCTTCGTAAGCAATTCTCAAACCTGATGACAGCGGTCCGCGAGGAAAGGATATTCTACCCACTTGCATGGATCATGACCTCGTTTGCCGTCGTGCCTGTTCTCTCTGGAACCATGTTCTGCTTTCAAACACAGCATCTGAAGCTCGATTCATCGATCATCGGTCTTTCGAAGGTCATGGGACAGGTCATGGTCGTCTCCCTAACCGTCCTCTACAACCGCCATCTCAAAAGGATCCCTTTGAGGCGCCTCGTGTGCGGAGTTCAGATAATGTATGCTTTCGCGGTGCTGTCAGAGTTGATCCTAGTGAAGCAAGTGAACCTTATGCTGGGGATACCAAATGAGGTATATGTGCTTTGTTTCTCGGCTCTCGCCGAAGCGATCGCGCAGTTCAAGGTCCTGCCGTTCTCGATCTTGTTGTCAAGCCTCTGCCCCCCTGGCTGCGAAGGTTCGCTCTTCGCCTTCTTCACCTCTGGATTGGTCTTTTCAGCGATTCTAAGTGGTGTGTTTGGGGTTGGACTGTCTGCCCTGATTGGGCTGTCCTCTGGGGGCTACTCAAGCTTGCCTCTGGGTATTCTGCTGCAAAGTTTGGCCGCATTGTTGCCTTTGGCGTGGCTGTCTTTTGTGCCTGAAAACTGGACTGCCGACGGGAAGATTGTAAAGCAAAGATGACGAGCGTATTGACATCAGAAGTAGATCTTGTTAGGTACTGAATGGCAATGTACAGGAATTTCTTCTAGCCCAAGCAACTCAATGTATAGGTATCCAAATGTGTTCTTCAGTGTACACAACACATACACACACGCGCGCGCGCGCGCGCACACACACACAGATTCCAAAATAGTAAAATACATCCAACTGCAAGGTGTAGGTACATCTACGTCAGTATATACTTTCATTGGGTAGTATATATGGTACTCTCTCCGTCCCAAAATAAGTGTCGCTGGTTTAACATTTATTTTGAAACTTATTTTGGAATGAAGAGAGTACTTTATAACTTTGAGTATGTTCATACACTTCTATTTCTAGGATACTTCCATGGTGAGGTACATGACTTTTTTTTACAACCAAGCCCATAGTTTTTAGTGGGTTTCTAAAAGATCTTCATATTTGAACAAGTTTGCTACAAATGTGGTACACACTATGTAACATCCTGGCTTAATAATAATGATAGACTACTTGTATCAACAAGGTGCACCTTTTATTTTCGTAAGTCGATCTTCGAAGAACCCCCAAAGTTAAGCATGATTGGCTTAAATTGCGTGATAATGGTGTAGGAGTAGTATTAATTTAGTTCCGTTTTATATGTGAAATGTGTGAAGTGTGCTGCATTTAGGGTGATAAGGCCACCGTATTTGAAAGCGGCGAGTAGAACAACTACGTGCGCGTGGCCAAACAACTGTGGTTTACATCTGCTCAGCACAAACGCAGGAACCAGACAGCAGTCCTTAATATGTCCAGTAATGTAATGCATGTTAGCAAATGATGTGCACAACATGATTTTTAGCCCGCATTAGCTCAACTAGGCCCAGTTGAGTCACACATGCAAGGGGCCAAAAAATTGTGCGATGGGTAACTAAACTGGCGTTGATTGGCCGACGTTGAGTGGCAAATTAAGTCACCGACTGACTTAGCCTCTCATCCACCATGCAATCTCCATCCAAGGCCAACCAGACCCCTCATCTTGTAGTCCAAGAAGTGAAAATTTTGAAGTTAAAAAGAACTCTGCGAAACAAAAACAAAAAATATATGAAATGAAAAGTGAAACTTGTGTGTGATACCAAGCGGCATCTCTGTGTAATAAAAGCCCAATTCTATTAGATTAGAGAAATAAAAGGTGAAATTTATGTGTGATAGCACTTGACATCTCATTGTTCATATTTCAGAAAATTCACTTTTTATTACTCTCTCCCCGTTCCTAAGTACAAGACGTTTGTTCAATCTGAACTGTCAAATCGTCTTGTACTATTTAGAAACGGACGGAGTACTTTATAACCTCGCTCATTGTTATTTTTAGGGAATAAACTTTCATTAATCAAACCATTATAATGTAAGGCAGAATGCAGTTTTCTGTAGCGAGTGAACCATCAAAATGCAACGCAAGAAGACGTGCTGCGGCAGTATTTTCTTCTGGCGGATGTCGCGACCATCACCAGCATTCGCACGTCGCCCCGCATCACCGACGATGTCATCGCATGGGCCCCGGAGAAGAACGGTATCTTCACCGTTCGCTCTGCATATCGCCTCGCCATGGACGAGCGCGAGCGTTCATTGGCGACCGCAACGAGCAGGGCACTGGATGGTCATCGCGCCATCTGAAATATCATATGGGGGTGCCCTGCTCCCCCAAAGGTACGAGTCTTTGCATGGAGGCTAGCTTCCAACTCGCTCGCTACTTGGGCAAACAAATTCTCTCGACAATTCGAACTCTCTGATGTGTGTCCTCTTTGTGGTGTGGAACGAGAGGATGGTTTCCACGCCATGTGCGGGTGCCCTCTGGCAAAAGAGTTGTGGCATCCTATGGCGCGTGACTGGCCCATACCCAAGGTGGAGGACGTCATGCACACCGGCCCAGAATGGTTGTTCTCACTTTTGGAGCCGCTATCTGAGACTACACGTATGATTGTCCTCATGACCATGTGGCGTGTGTGGTATGTGCGGAATGAAATTACTCATGGCAAGTCCCCATCCCCAACGGAAGCATCACGCAGATTTTTACAAGGCTACATCAATTCCTTGTTATGCATCCACCAATGGCCCCAAGGTAACATGAAGAAAGGGAAGATGGTGGTTCAGGTTGATGCTTTCGCGCCACCACAACATGTACAACAGAAGGCCGAAGTGAGGTGGGCGTTACCTCCAGCTGGCTGGACAAAATTGAATGTTGATGGTAGCTATGTACCGGCAACAGGAGCAGCTGGAGGAGGCATGATCCTGTGGTCAAACCGAGGAGGCATAATTTTCATTGCTTGTAGGGAAAATTCGCACATGTGATAATGCCCTGGAAGCCGAGTTGGCTCGCAAAATAAAGTTAGCCATGCTCTTGTGAACTACGGCAGGAGTACCCCCGTACTGTGGTATGGCTAGCCTCGAGTATGCGTGACATTGTAAACTGGGTTCTGGCTGATTTGCTTGGCAAATTTGACCATTTTGACCTATGGACGAAATCAATTCACGGAATGAACTGACCGTGAAACTATTTCACAGCCCTAACCTTTTTGTGTAGCGCCCGCCACGACGGTGCCACACCCTACTGTGCAGCGCCTAGCATGGGGGCGTTGCACACCAGTCCACCGTGGCAGCCCCTGGGCCCGCACCCAGCAGTGTAACGCCTCCGTGCTAGGCTCTAGCGCTCGGGCGCCACACTTGTAAAGTGCAGCGCCTAGCGCGTAGGCACTGCACTGTGACTTATCCAGCCACTCGGCTGGGCCCCCTCCCCCATCCCCACACCACACACTCTCCCACTCTCCTCCCCGAGCTTTGCCCCCTCTCCCACTCTCTCCCCCTCTCAAATCCTCTCCCAAATCTTGCAAATTTGAAGAATTTGTCCGTGGATTTCGAAGTCAAACCCTCCCTCAAGGTAATATTCTCCATTCCCCTTGTTTTGATCCAAGTAAAGTTCCCATTGCTCATTTGTTGCTTGTTTGGGGAAACCCTAGTTTTGTTTGGATCTAGAGATTTGCATGGAAATGTGAGATGTTTGTTTGCCAATTTCTATGGTTAGGCTTTGTTAGTATGCTAGGGTTATTCTTATGGGTGTTCTTATGTTGGTGCTAGGGTTAGGTTTAGGGCTAGGGTTATGGTTATGGTTATGGTTATGGTTGGGGTTAGGGTTGTTGTTTGATATATATATTAGGGTTTCTATTCCGTGTTAATCCTTGTATTAGTACTCATGGAAGCAATGTTACCTTGTGTTATTGGAATGCTTGTAGGGATGGGAAGAACATGTGTGTTTGTTCATCATGGGGACAAGGACGCCTTTTTGAAAGGCAATGTAGAACCGGACCTGGATGAGGTTGACATGGTGTTTGATAGTAGTCCTAGCTATGCGGAGCTCTTGCAACAAGTTAGGGAAGATTTGAATTGGACGGACCCTGGTGATATCATAGAGTTGGAGGGAAGGCATAATGTTGGTTTTGGAATGCACATCCATTGGAAGACAATGCGTGTCAACTCGGAGCAACGTTGGGTTGCATACAAGGAGACGGTGGCCAAATCACTAGACAATGCTCTTGAGTTATTTGCAACGAAGAAGGTTGATTCAAGTTTGCATTTGGACTTGAACCGGAACCCCTCCCCTTTGGTTGCTAGTAGCCCCACACCCTTGAAGCGAGATGAAATTGTTGAACCTCTTTTGACCCAAGAAGTGAGGCCATCATTGAGCCCGTTTACAAACAACCAAGATGAAGCTTTGCAAGAGGACAATGATGAGTATGCGGACGATGACAATGAAGTTGATCTCCATGACAACAATGTGGGTGATCTCGACAAATATCACTTGCAAGAGACAATGGACCCTTCCATCCCTTTTTCCCGTGCATATGCATCGGACTCGGATGACGATGGTCCCGATGAACAAGTTGATGCGGAGGGGTTCACGGTGAAGGAGGCCGAAGCTTTCGAGAAGGTATTTGGTCGGGATCATCGGACTACATTGTTCAAGGATGTTAGTCTCGCGGATGAAGCCGTGGTAGATGGTGGCCAATGTGTACCTCTTGGGGTTAGGCCAAGCTCTTATCATGATTTGGGAGACGACAAGAACCGCATTGCTAAAGGTTCTAAGTTCGACACCTTCTTGGAATTGAAGATGTGGCTCGACAACTACTCGATTACGCATTATCGTCCACATAAGGTGGTGCACTAGGACGTCAAAGTGCGCTACACGGTTGCATGTGCATGTGAAGATGAAATATGTCCATGGATTGTGCGTGCAAGACCATGGAAAGGAGGTCCCACTTGGCACGTAGTGAGTTGTGTGCCAACTCACATGTGCCAAGGCAAAAGGGTGGATGGCAAGATTGTGTCCCAAAACCACAAACAACTCACGTCCGAGTTCATCGCTTACAGGCTCTCCAACTCAATATCCACACTTCCAACAATGAGCATCCAACATGTCATTGACCTTGTGAAAGCCATCTTTCACTACAAGGTGAAGTACGGCAAGGCATGGAAGGTGAAGCAAGCCGCATTTAAGATGTTGTATGGTACTTGGGAGGAAGCATACAACCGAATCCCTAGGTTGTTGTTAGCCATGGCCGCGACAAACCCGGGCATGGTTCATGTGGTCGAGCCTCATGGGCACCAAACAACGGTTCATGAAGGAAGGAAAGTCAGAGTATTTGGCCGTGCTTTTTGGGCGTTCGAGCAATGTGTGAGGGCTTTCGAACATTGTAGGCCGGTCATCGCAATTGATGGCACGTTCTTGACCGGACAATACAAGGGCACCTTGTTGGTTGCGATAGCAAGTGATGCCAATAACCGGGTGTTGCCATTGGCATTTGCTTTGGTTGAGGTGGAAAACAATGTCAACTGGGAGTGGTTTCTACATCTTTTGAGGACGAAGGTGTTACCCGCTCAAAGGGAAATTTGTGTCATATCGGATCGGCATCAAGGAATTCTTAACGCGGTGGAGATTGACATTCCCGGGCATGCTCCATTGCACCATCGATGGT